ACTTTATCCCAAGACTTTTAGTTCATATAAAAATTAAAAAATGTTATTATTCATTAATTAAAATTACTACATTTTAAATATTGTTAATTTTTTTAACAAATTTTCAGAAAAAAGCTATTTTTCTTATTTTATTTTTTATGATTTATTTCAACTAATACTAGTTCAATGCTATAAAATTCAACTTAATAACTTAATTAAGTTATATTCATGTCAGTATAAACATTTGAAAAGGCTGTAATGAAGCGTTGAAACTTTTAAAATAACAAAGGTTAAAAAAACAGGTGTTTAATTATTTTTATGTTATCAATATATTGTTATTTCACGTAAAAAATTCAATACAATTTTATAAATAATACATCAAAATATTTGTTTTTACATAAGGTTTTTTTTTGTATCTTGAATTATTGAAAAATCACTTGAAAACCTCTAATATTGGTTTTTTTTTATCGTTTTATAGAATATTCATCGAAAATTTTTGATTTGTAAAATTTGAAAATTTGTGAAATCTTAAAATGCTGTGCACCTCGATTTAAATTTTTTCAAATGATCTTCAATTTTTAAAATATTATTTTTTTATACTAAAAAAAAATGGAGGGGTGTCCCGAAAGAATTTCGTAAAATAAGGACCACCTTACGGGGGCAACTTTCCCCTTAACCGGCCATGTATATTTCTCCCACTCCTTCCCCATAGGCCACGCCTCTTACTTTCCCTATAGGACAGAATCCCTTTTTTTACCATACTTATGTTTATTAAGATACAAAATGTTTAAATATATTTTATAAATGTTAATTTAAAAATAAATTTATCTTTTATGTAGATTTTTAATAATTTAAGAAAAATATTAGTGTTATGTTGCATTGTTGATTTAGGAGAAAACGTAATTATTATTTCTTCTCTTGAAAAACTGAATATTATTATTAAAAATAACTTTATAGGATCCTAATTAAGGTCCTAGTTTAGCTACGTTATTTTTATAGTTGTGTTTTACAATAAGTTTAAAAAATGCTGAATTTTTCATGGTAAAATATTAATTAATATGTGTAAAACTTACTGTCACAAATGCACATTATACTTTTTCTTTTTACATACAATAACTCTTTTTTATTCGTATAATAAATTTAGGTTTTATAAAACTTGATCCAGAAAAATATGATGGTAAGTTTTTTTTAATAAATTCATTGAAAAAATAATTACGCATAAGGCAAAAATCTGTACAAAATTCTGTGTAACTGTATGATAATTTTATTTTTAAAGACGCTCTACTAAGTATCATTTATTTAACGTTAGAACATTTTTATCCACAGGCGATGCAATATAATAATATTATTAAAATAATCAATATCAATCGTAAGAATAATTATTATTCTAAAGATTTATTTTACTTAAGACAAATATTCTCTATGATTTTATATTAACACTATAATAATATTTTTAAAATTTGAGTAATATAAAGTTATATCTTAGCTAGAGTTCTACGATATAATATTTAATATTCATTTTCAAAAAAATAACTCTGAAATAATTCGATAAAAATGTAAAAAAAAATAATTAATTTTTTCTGAATTATTTAAAATTAAAAACTATTTAAACAAATTATCAATTTTGATAGTAAGGTAACAGATATTCCTATCCACCTCTTAAAAGAACGTTCTAAATAAAATCTTTATTGTTCAATAAAAATTCCTTGTTTTAAAGTTATAAAAATCGAACTTTATAGTATTTGTTAAATATACAGTCTAATTTATCAATCTTATTTACTAATTATTTTCGATTTTTCAGCATGTAACATTTGTAAAAAAGGGGATAAAAAAATGTATTAGTAAATAGAAGCCCTTCTACCAATGACAGCAATAACAGCAAAAAAGAAAAAATATTATAAAAATTACTACAGAAAAATGTTATAAATAATAATTTATTTGTTTTTTTTTATCTTTATCATTTTATTATTAATTCTAAGGTGTATATAAAGTAATCATATTGAATAAATATAGGCTGTATGAGTTTAGTACTTAAAAATATACATCGGTAAACACATATAATTATTTGATCAGTAAATGATAAAAATTCAAAGTAAAGTTAAATTTTACGTTTATGCATATATTAAGATAATTTAGTAATCTAAAAATATTTTACTTTAAACTTGGTCAATACAAACTCTGAAATAAATTTTAATTCATTGTAAGAAAAGATATTCTCTATTTAGTGATGTATAACAACTTATCTCAATAGTTACTTTAGATTATGCATTCAGGTTGATGAATTTATTTATTATTATTAAATATAGTACTTAATATATTTAGAATAAGTATGGTCGTAAGTACAAATATGAAAATCTATTCTTTTTCAGTATAATTGTGAAGTTCAGTAAATAATTAAAATAGTAATGATTGAGTTTTAACGTAAAAGCGGAAAAATCTATAAAATCAAATTTCAATAATTTAGTATTTAATTTTATTTTATTTTCCTTAATAAAATAAGATATTTATACAAATTTATAAATCGCTAATTTTCGAAATTTTTACTTAAAACTGCCATAACTTTTTCAAAAATGAACAAATAAATATAATTTTTTTTATAGATGTTTGATATCTTTACCTATCATTTGGTATATTTTTTATATAAATTGAACCCTTAACCTACCCAACGGGGAGGGATTCAAAATGACAACTTTTTCACAAAAAATTAAGTTTTTCAACTTAACTTTTGAAAGTGTTTCGGAACTACTAACACTTTTATATATATTTTAAATTAAAGTTTATGTAATATACTTTAATATTAAAAAAAAAAAAAAATCAGACTTTATTTTGTTTTCATGATGAAAACAGTCATCAAAGTTAATAAAAAAATACGATTTTTGTAAAAAAATTCTTTTTCATATTTTTAACATTATAACACTATAATTTTTTAAAAAATTTATGGATCAATAAAATTTTTTATAAGAAATTATATTTATATACTTCTTTCATTTGACATACTTTTTTTTTAAATCGGAAAAGTTCCCTTATTTCAGGGGGGGTTCAAATCTTTAAAATGCATATAGGAAGTAGAACTTTTTCAACTTAATTTTTGAAGGTGTTTCGGAAATACTGACGCTTTTATATATATCTTAAACTAAAGCTCATATAATATACTTTAATATTAAAAAAAAAAAATTCGGACTTTATTTTGTCTTCATGGTGAAAATAGCTACTGTATTCCAAAATATGCTATTTTTGTGTTAAAATTCTTGGTTTTGTATTTTATTTTATTATATGGGGAGTACACTGATTTTCATAAATATTATATCAATCTAATTGACATAGTATAAAAAGTTAAACATATTTAAATTTTTTTGTTTCTTTGAAGTCGAGAAAAATAACTTTAAAATTTGAACTTGCTAAATTTTCATTTTTATTAAGTGACGAATGCGACGTACGGTTTCTGATAACAGTTGGGTCTTTTACGCCTGTGGCATTGAATTTTTTCTTAATTCTTTTTAAGTTAGAAAAAAATGTTTAACTCATTTGATTTTTATCTCATTTAGATTCAATAACTTCAATAAATAGCAAGGATCCCATTACTGTAGTTTCCTCATGTTAGAAGAAATTCATTATATATATTATTTTACTATGTGGTTTTTTTTGTAGCTATCATTTATTTTATCAACTTTCACTTGACCTACTTTTTTGACAAATTTTTTTTTTGAATTAAACACTGGGGGGGGGGTGTTTTAAAAAACAACAATGGTACTTGGTAAACTCAAATACAAGAAAGGAATATTAGGGAGTCTAAAAAATTTGATTTCTATCTCTACTTATATATGTTATTTCAAAATACTATAAATTTGTTTGTATTTTATTTTAGCTTCGATGCGAAGCTGAGAAAGTATTAATTTTACTATGAAGTGTTTTTCTTTTTATATGAAAATACTCATTTTTTACTAATTAGTAATAATATCAAAAATTAGAAGTAATAGAAAAAGTATAATTTCAGATTTGAAAACGGCGTGAAAAGTTGATTTAGAAACGTATATTTTTGCTTCTATTGAATGATCCTTGCAGTCCAGTGCATTTATTTATAGTAACAAACAGTTTTCATAAAAAAATATTGTTTCAAGCTATTACTACTTTATTATTTTTATAATTTCTCTGTATAAATTACAATATTAAATTATTGAATATCAATTTCATTCTAAATTTAATTACTATAATTTTTATTTAAACATATATTATAGTTTTAAATCCAAAAACTACTAGTCAGGATATAATTAAGGAAATAAGAGTTAATTTTCTTTTTAGAATATTCCTCCAACATCTTAAATTTAAACACTATCCACAGATTTGCATCGAAACGTGTCTTACGATAGTGATTTTAATCGCTGTCAGATATCATCTATATTTATCCCGTCTATGCCACGTCCGCATTGTACCTCGTCTACACTCTGCATCGTCACCAATGTGCTACCGTTTTTATATTTAATATTATTATGAACTAAATCTCCTCATATTTTAAATACAACTACATTTTATAGGACAGTGCGTTGAGAAAAAAAAACCACATGTTTATCGTTCTACTATTAAAATATTAAACACACAATACGATTTTTGCCTTTATTTTTCTTATTTGTGCAATGAGGAATTTTTTATCAATGTTACACCGATAAGGCAATAAGAGTCATATTATGTGTTTAGTATTTTAATAGCGGTACGATAAATTTGGTGAAATTTTTTTCCAAATTTTTTTGATCCCAAATTTTAGGGGAGGGCGCGAAATTTATAAAAATTCTATTGATTAATTTGTATGATGATTTCGTTGGAAATACTGTGGCGATGTTTAATTTTTATTTGAATAAAATTTAAAGTTTGAGAATTGGAAAACTACCAATTTTAGAGATAAGAAATTTTAGTTTTTGATTTCGCTATTTTAGGTCCTAATGAATATAACTAACATGGATTTTAGTCGAAAAAACCTTCAATTTGTTAAATATATCATATAAATAAATTTTTCTCTAATTTGATAATTTATTATTACATTTATTTATTTATTTATTAAACGGGACTTGCCCAATACAATATTAGTAAATTTTTAGTACATAACAATTGCAATAAGGTATTTACAGAAGACTATTTAATTACACAAAGTTTTAAGTATAATCACAAAGATCATTTTAAGTTGAAAATGAAAAATTAAACATAAGAGTAACTCAAACTTGGACAATGGTATTATAAAGGAGGGGTCAGTGTTAGCTTTTTTCAAAGAATTGAGGAGATGGTTTGTGGAAGAATAGGGGATTAAGAAGGGAATATTTGAACGAGTATAGCGAGGAGGAACTTTAAGGTTTATGAGGGATAATAAATCTGGGGAATCAATAATACCTGAGAGGAGACCTGTTAAAAATGAGAGGTTTAAAGAAAGCCTTCGATCAGCAAAAGTACAGAGGTTCAGGAAATGAAGAATAGGAACATAATTATGAGATGGATGTTGGATAGAGAATTTAGAAAAAACGAAACGTAGGAACTTGTGCTGCACACGTTCTAACATACCACTCGCACCAGAAGAAGGTGGATCCCATAGGACATATTCAAGAATCGGATGAACTAGGCCACAATATAATGATTTAAGGGGAGAAACCATGTAGAATTCCTGAGTTATGCGAAAAACCAAACCCAGGATTTTCAATACCTTGCAACAATTTTTTTCTATGTGTTTTATAGGGCACAGGGTACAAGTAAGGGTAAAATCCTTCGCTTTTCATTTAATTATTTATGAGATTAAATTGGCTTTCAAAACATCATAAAAGAAGGTAATAATTTGATGGAGTGGACTGGGAAAGGAGTGTAGAAATGTTAAGAATAGTGGAGGATGGTAGGAGTATAGAGGTACAGTTGGTTCCAGAGCAAGGTGACATTTACTGATTTGGAGTTTGATAAGGCAAGGTCTAAGAGAGAATTATGAGAGTTGAAAATATAATTTAGCTGAAAAAATCCATGTAAAGAAAATAACTCAGGAACACAGAGGTCTTGAGAAGGAGAAAAAGAAGAATAGCACAGGCCATATTCATCATTTGACCAGGTAATATTAGGAAGGTTGTAGTCCCCACAGATGACAAAAAATATTTTAATATTTATATATATATACTAGTTTTAAACTATATAATAAATATTTTAAAGTAAGCTAGAATGATCAATGATTTAAGTGTAAATTGCTCTATTCACTAATTTAATTTCCATAGTTTGAACACTTCTTCGGATTGACATCATAGACTATTCATTTTTTAGTCTGTTCTTAGTAAAGTAGTCACATCGAAAAGATTTTGTTAATAGCTCACTTATTTTAGTTCTTATCCATGTTGGTGGAAGTCTTATGAAAAAATGCTGAAAATATTTTTAAAGTTTTAATTTTAATCCTAGATATTATATTTTTTACGTAAATGTTGGTTTAATATAAATAGCTAACTTTTAATAATATTTACCTGAATACCATGAGCCCAGTAACCAGTGGAATGATTGACAATACCCAATGTATCAACTGCATTAAATGCATACGTTTTTGCATCGGGAACAAATAAACTGGTTTCCTGCAAACGATGGCTAAATGCATTCATCTTGGTATTTACAAATAGTGGAAATAGATGTTGAATCGTAATATTATCCTTGGCATACTCCATTCGTATTGCTTCAGTAAAACTTTTTATGTATGCCTACAAAAAAAAAAAAAACTAATAATAAAAAAATTTGTTCTGAAAGAAAAAAGAAGAATGAAATAAAAAAAATTATTATTAAAAATAATAATAAATGAACTTTTCTATTATTTAATAATTATTATTTTATATATCCAACACAAAAAATGTTATTTGATACATGAAAAAATATAAAAAAATACGTAATAATAATTAAATATTTTTATAAAATCTTTAAATGCTGTGTTATTAGTACACTTGTATCTTTGCATAAAATTTTAATGAAATTGACATTTGCAAACCAAAATAACATCCTACTAAAAACTATGCTCGTAGACATTTTTGAAAATTTTGAAAATCGTCGTTAAGTAATTGTTCCAGCACTAGTTAATTTTTCAACGTTTTATTACATAATAAGATACCACGATGTGTTAAATTGGGTTGATTTAACAAAAATTTCCTCTCATTCACCTCGAATGGGAATCTTAAAAAATAAGACATTTAAAAACTAATTACAATCCACTGATAGATAAAAATATTGTATTTTCGTCTGATCTTCTCAAAGAGGCCGATTCACGGGTATTTGCTCGAGCACATCAGTCAAAATATGCCACCGTCCTTATATGTTACTGTGCAACCGAATATTTGACAAATCAACATTGAACATAGTCAGCGTTCGGATACACATCGCGTTACATTCGGTTTATCGGGAGCGATGGATACGACGTGGCACGCACAGCACTTCACGAGTGACTTGCGGACATCAAGCACAAGAAGCCCGCCATTTGAGACGGTAGTACATTCAAGTGTCACGTGCATCGCTGTTACGACTGTACATCACGGATTAGTAAGACGAACATTTTTCACGCACTCATACATATTTGAACGAGCCGATCGATTTTTCGTTTACGCGCCAACCACGAGTAGGGAAATTGAATACAATTAACGGTAGTCGGTCATTTAATGTTTATCGCCTACCCGCAGTTCGCGGTTCATATTGGTACCTTACCACGACCTTCACACCATACACGCCTATCTCCCAGAACACTACAGAAAAAAATGAGGAGGACCTAGACAGATTTACTCTGTCAGTCTAGGATATACCCAACGGTGTGAGTGAATATCGTAGTCCCTTTCTTAAACGACCGGACAGGTGATTGGTGGATTAAATACCCTATATTATATATTATATATAGATTATATACCCTAGACAGAATTTGGATCCGAATTATTTGAAGAGTTCGACAATATCGAAATCCTGACGTTGTTAGAGACGGACATAAAAACGACTCGTCAGTGCCTCCGACAAACGTTAACCAAGTTTATTATTCATAAACAACGTTTGTCTGTGCTTTTACAAAACGATTACCGAGTCATGATATGGTTAATTCACCTAGCGTCTTTCGCCGATCTACGTAAGAGAGCGCACGAAGTAGACAAAACCGCGGTACCTCTGTACGTTTATCCAGAATCCCGACAGCCAAACGAACTGCCTCTGCGACAATCTATTCGGAGGAAATTAGTGCGCACCCCTAGCTTATAACAGGGCGTAATATTGTAAACAATGTTTCGTTAAAACGTGATCTGCCGCTAAGCAATTTTTACCTTGTAAAAAAATTTTACACATCAGAGTATCGGAGATCGGACAAGCTCCGACACGACTAATTATAGCATGAGTCAAGAGTTCAAAATTTTTTCGGACACAGTGGAGGAGGAGATGTCAGTCGATCCGGCAAGTCCACTATAAGCAGTTAATGCTTTTAGCAGGTAAACGGACATCACGGTTAAATACCAGCTCCCCCGTTCAAACCGTAAACCACTCGAGTAATCGACAATAAAAAATTCCGCGTATAATTATTTTCTGCAGTAGAGTAAGAATTCCAAACTGGCTTTATTACAGCTTGTTATAAATGGAGCCCACGATTCATGATTCGCAAACCAGATCTGACGCAATTAGATATAACTGGCGACCCTCGAATACGCGCTTTATTAACACAGACGATATGTAATTACGCAGCGGTTTTTAACAACACGGTGGGTCAAACAACATTAATCAAACACGACATTCTATTAAAAGAACCGAATCTTATTGCATTAAAACCTTATCCCTGTCCCTTGCATAAGCAGGAGATTACTGATGATATGGAAACTATTGGAAACACAGAAACGTTATCTGCCGTAAAGTGAGAATGCTTAGCAATTATATAGGCAACTGATAAATTTTGTCCGTACTTAGAGTATTTTCCCTTCGAATTATTTAACGATAAATCCAAGCTGACATTGCTACATAGGGCAAAGGATAACAATTTGAAATTTACTAGATAAGCGCTACACCTAGGTAAATTAAATTTCTCAACAATACATGTGTCTGGAAAGCACAACAAAAAACCGAATATGCTGTCGCGTTATCCGACTGAAGGGCCTTTGTTGATGAGGAGTTACTTGATAATTCAATTGGCGTGTCAATGATTAAAACGTTAAATAACACGTGGGTCACTCTTGTTAATGATATTGCCTTAACCGAATCAAACAACGCGTCAGGTAATCGATCGTTTATGTGGGGAGGGAGATACAAGAATGACGAATCGACGACCCGATTCTTCTATTCATCATGAAACAATTATTTACGGACACTGCCAACAAAAACTGGCTGTACTGTTGACAGTTGATTTTAATTTTCAGCATTTTGATGTAGTTAGGGTAATTAATTTTATAAGTTATTAATATAGTAACTGGATTTAATATCACTGAGTGCGTTTATTAACAATAATATCGTTTACAAAAACGAGAACAGTAATTATAAATATAAATATGGCAATATATTTAGTTATATTATTACTTTTTTCGTGTAGTAAATATCAACAACTGATTGAAAAGAGATAATTGATTATTCAAGCTGCCCGTCGGTTACCCCGCATAGTGCGATCTTTCGGGCATGAAGAGGAAGCGTTGCGATGCGATTTCCAGTAATAAGTCGAGTAACGACGATGCGACTCACGAATGCGAAAAACTGATCTATAACCTTTTCTACCATCTGGTGGAAGTGCTAGGTGTCCCGCTAGACCATACCCCGGCGATATTAGTGTCAGCAAATGCCAGAGATGCCCCGGATCCTTAGGGATTTGATCGCAAGCTAATCCTACAACCGGGGATTTGTGATGAGCGGGCGGCTACACTTCACGAAACATGGAGGATCTTCGCTGCCGTACCAGTAATCTCTCAACCAGTATTGAGAGAAGGGGGCATTGCGTTCATCTGCCACTCCAGTACCAGCACAACAACCAGCGGACCGACGGCGTCGGACCATTAATAATCGTAGGCTCACCGATCTCATCGATAGTTACCATACATAAACAAAACGTGGAAAGTTTACAACACGATAAATGTAATTGTTATTACTTGTGAGTAATTTTTATTTTGTGATTATTCGATCACAAATTTACGTGATCAATCACGTGAATCATACCACGCCAATAATTTTTGTTTTTTGACTAATTGTAGAAAATATTATAATAAATTAGAACAACAATTCCGCCACTGGCAAATGATTATTTGTCAATAAAATATGTAATTACAGAATTAACAAAATACTATTTTACAAGTGGGTTTGGCCACCATGGTCAGTCAACTTCAGTACTAACCTTAAGATCTATTGTCAAACATCAATCTCTGTACTCGAATGTTGCTGTCTGACTTTTAAACTAGCATAAAAAGATTATTTTTTATGTCTTTGCTCAAGTTTTATCCTCTCCTACCTAAATCAAGTTATTTTGTTTTGTACTTCTGAATCATATATCTTGATGATTCACGCTTATCCTTCTTATAACAATGGTTCTTCAACACCCTCGTTAGAACCGGATTGTCAGCTGAACATACTGAGATTACTAACATTCATACGTACCAATACATAGTTATTTATCGTTTAATTATACCTTAAAACAGTAATTTTAAAATGAATGCATTTCAAAAAGTTCTTTATTTTCGGACTACAGAAATATTAAGATCTCACTTCTTCTTCTTCTTCCTAGCCTTAATCCCAACTACTTGGGGTCTGCCACCCTTATCCTAAACTTCCACTTGACACGATCTCCCACATCATCTACGCTCACATCAGCTGTCCTCATATCGCATTCAATAGCATTCCTCTATTTTTTTTTTGACATCCTCTACCTCTTCTTCCTTCAACATTCATTTCTATAATTGTTCTTACGGCTTCCGATTTTTCTCTTCTCATAACATGACAAACCATTGAAGTCTTTTTTTTCAAATCTTAACGCTACACCTATACTCCCTCTTGTATGCTCATTTCTTATCCTATCTTCTCTAGTCACTCCAATCATCAATCTAAGCATTCTCATCTCTACTACACTCATTTTCTGCTTTAATTTCTTATAAACCACCTAACACTCTGAACCATACATCATAGCTGATCTCACTACTCTTGTAGAATTTACCTTTCAGCTTCATTAGAATTCTTTTATCGCATAAGACATCAGACGCTTCTCTCCACTCGAACCAAATGCACTTAATACTATGTCTTACATCCCCGTTAATACCACCGATCTTATGCACAACTGATCCTAAATACTTAAACTTTTCCACTGCTCCAATCACGTCTTCGCCTATTGTCACTGGTCTTCTTATTTCACCTAACTCGTGTTCTACTTTATCAAACTCGTTCTCTATATACTCTGTCTTACTTTTACTTATTCTTAAACCCTTTTCTTCAAGAGCTGACCTCCACACCTCTAGCCTTTGATTAATTTCCTCCCTATTTTCTCCTATTAACACTATATCGTCAGCAAACAACATGCACCACGGCACCTCTCCTTGTATTTCTCTAGTAATTTCATCCTTCTAATAAGATTTTATTTAAAAGTTCCTTCAAACACCTTATGGCAACACCGCCTAATATTTTCCACACTTCTACTGTCATTTCATCTGGTCCCACTGCTTTATTCTTTTTCTGTAGCATCATTTATGCCACAGCCTCCTCATAGATTTCACTTCTAAAATTATATTATATTATAATTAGGTTAACAATTATACTACAAAAAAATTCAGGTCAATCAGACAAAATTAACCCATGTTGACTTGGGGGTTAAAAATTGGCGAATTGCGGTAGTTTTTTCGTTCTTTTTTTATTTACCTCATAAATGAACGCCCAATGAAAAAGAACATAAATTGTAAATCGAAATATTTCGTATAATATTAGTACTTATATTTTTTTTTAAATTACGTATTAGTTTTCTAGGACAATGACAAAATATACAAATTTATATTACCAGCCATATAATTGATATAATGTATAATTACTATGTTTTCTACTTACAAACTATAAAGGCTTTATCAGTCTCAAAAAATATATAATTATTGTTAATAGTGTTAATTGTTTATTAATAAATACAAAAATACCCATTACTTATATATATATATTATACTCACGTGGTAATACTATTCTTATGTATAAAAGTCATAAATAATAATATATATCCTATACAACTAGCGTTAATAATACAGTGTGATGGTGTCACGTTACCATTATTGTGAGAATTTATTTTAATAAAATACAAACAGCACATCTGCTTTTAGAGATTGATGAATTAATAATTAATATTTATTGCTAAATTAGCAATAATCCAAATTATTATAAAAACCCAAAAAACCTGGACATTATGGTCAGTCGACTCCAGTGCCTTGTGTCATTCATCAGTGTCAGTACTCAGTTGTCGCTGACCGACCGGATTACTGCATAAAGTCAAGTCTTTTTCCTTTTTCATCTACTCTCATCCTTAACATTTCAGAGTACTTGTGTCTTGCACTTCGTCTGCACCTCATACCTGGGTGTTACCCTTATTCCCTTTATATATCAACGGCCTTTCGATATCCACAGCTAACCCGGAGTGTCAGCCGAGCACAGTAACTGCTTTATTAAACGCGCGTGAATTCCAGTCAGCAGAATCAACATCAGCGTCATATACACATACACATCATCATACTCACATACTCATCGTCGTCTCCTTACCTTTTATTTGTGTTACGATAATAGAATGATCGCTTTATCAAAAAACTATTCGATTACTCACAAAATAATATACAATATTAAAAAATGTTAAGTTTTTTTTTAATTACTTATATTTATCGAATTATTATCTATTAATTTCCTTTTATGATCATCCCTTATAACTTATAAGGGTACACCCAAAGAAAAACCTCAATCAATTTTGATAGAGAAATTTTATCAAGGGTTTATGATAATGTTTTATTAATACGAACAAAATAATTATTCTTATGAATAATTATTGTTCAAGACAAGAAAAAAAATCATCATATTGATAAATATATCATAGATTCAATAGTTATGATATATTTATCAAATTGAACAATGAATTTATTATATAGATCGAGGTTTTTCTCTGGGTGTATCAATATTATTTGTTAAACAGTAACATACATATTTAATCAACTTATAAAATAATAAATTGTCTACTTAAGAAAATGATTGGTTAATAGCAACTTTTGGACCTGTACTTTGGAAGTAATTCTTATTTTTATACCTAAGCAGGACGTAAAAGTATAGTGTTAAAAATAGCAGCACTCACTCCTCACCACCAGTCATTACTTTAAATTATCCATAACCTCTGAAATATTGGTCAAAAAGTTATAATCGACCAGTCATATTCTTAATTCGATTATTTCCTAATTTATAAGCTAATTAAATATGAATGTTGCCATTAGAAAAAATGAAGTTGACACATTTATAAGTTTTAAGGGACGATTCTAAAAAGTAATTTATATCTAACAAATCAAGAAATATATGTAACTAAAAAAAACTAAAAATTTTTTTCCTATTTCTGAATTTATTTTATGAGTATTCGAGTGGTTTATTATAAACCGATTAAACTACAACGTATATATTAGGTATTATTCAGTACATTTTTCGCTAATACTATTATGTTTAATTTCGTATTCCACGGGTGTAATAAGGTTTCATTTTACTATTAATAGTCTCCATAATAAAATATTTATTTTGAAAATGTCAAAAAAATTAAAAATTAATTTGAAATTTTTTCATTTAGATTTGAAAAGACTGAGATTTAAGGATCAAAATGTCAATATAATAAAAATATCTATAAATATACAAATTTGTCGGTTCTATGAAAATTTGCATATTTTGGCATTTTCCTTGAAAACTAATTGGTTTACCAAAAAAAAATACTAATATACTTATACTAATATTATACAAAGTATTTAGATATATAATTTATATCTTAAGTTTTTATTTCATTTAATAATTATATTTTTTTTAGAAAATTAAATATTAAACAATTTTTATAAAAATATTTAGTTGTGTCTCTATGCGTTTGTCAGATATACAATTTTATATATGAAGGCAAATTTGCATATTTTGTCATTATTTGAAAAATTAATACGTTTGTGAAAAAAAATGTTAGTACTGATATTATATGATAAATTTAGATCAATAATTTATATTTTATTTTATAATTTCATTGGGCGTTCGTTTATGAGATAAATAAAAAAAGAACGAAAAAACTACCATAATTCGCTCATTTTTAACTCCAAGTCGACACAGGTTAATCTTGTCTCATTTTTATGTTATAATTGAAATAGAAATTTCTTTAAACAATTTTCTTTTAATTATAACTAAGAAATACCCTGCTGCATATAATAATTGTTTTTAAATCTATTTTATACCATGGCCATTTAGAGTTAAAATTTTTGTTAAAATTCTTATATATTAGCTTCGATGCGAAGCTGAGAAGGTATTGGTTTTACTATGATGTGTTTTTTTTTTTTTTTTTTTTTTTTTTTTTTTTTTTT